ACAGTGAGATTTCTCTTCACAAGTTCATGGTGACTGGGGTTTTTCCAGGGACACATTTTCAGAGGAAGAAATGTGTCAGCCATTCTCATTTTGCACTACGAAGTTGAAGCCTTATATGTATAGTTTCCTAACATCTAGTTGGGGGCCTAGTACATAGGAGAAATTTAAAAATTACTGGTTGAACAGAGCAGCTCTCAGGCATCAGTTTTGATGCTGGTGGGATCTGCAGATTGTTCTCAACAATATGATTGAATTTGCTAGAACTGCCATAACAAAATACCACAAAACAACAGAACTGTATTTTCTCACATCTCCCAAGGTTAGAAGTCCAAGATCAAGGTGTCGGCATGTTTGTTCTTTTTTTCTGAGGCCTCACTCCTTGGCTTGCCGATGGCCGCCTTCTCCCTGCATGTCCACATGGTTGTGTCTCCATGTGCATGTTTCTGGTATCTCTCTCTCTCTCTTTCTGTGTCCTAATCTCTTTACAAGGACACCAGGCATATTGGATTAGGGCCCACCCTAACGACCTCATTTTAACTTAATTACTTCCTTAAAGGCCCTATCTCTAAATACAGTCACATACTGAAGTACTGGGGGTGAGGACTTCAGCTCTGTCCATAACACTCATGGTCATGGGTTACCACTCTGGATCACAGATTAGCCCTTCCTGTGTTCATGGTTACCACTTAGTGCCAGGAAAATGCCAGCAATCCAGACAGGGTATTTATTTTAATGACTCTGAAAAGTTGGAATTACTGAATTGTGTGTGTGTGTGTATGTGTTGTGTTTTATAGGTATTAGCAGACCTATTCTTGAGTAACTAAAAAAGGCCAAACTCAATCACAGGGGTCAAGAGCCTGGGTGTCTCTGGAGAGAACAGACCAGTGAAAACCATTAGTTCGTTTATCCTAAAACAGAAATTTTCAGCTTATGGTTCAGAAGCAGTCCAGTGTGCCGAAATGCTTTCGTGAGACTGAGTAAAGAAGTTCTTGGAAGAAGATGAGGAAATAAGTTTAGCACAGTGTCAAACATGTGGTGGGCAGTCAGCAGATGCTTGCTGGTGGTGCATAATGAGTGAACGAGAGGGTGAGATCAGCTGGAAGCCCCTGGGTTGAACAGCTTCTTCGTCAAAAAGTGTAATTGCATTTTATACCCCACTAGGTGGTATACTGAAACCTATTTAACTTCCTTCGTCTAGGAGCCGACATTCAGACCCAATAGCAGAACATAAACGTTAAACCACCGCGTAAGTTAGGAAGGCAATGCGTTTACACCAAAGTCAGATTAGGGCCAACATTCTATTTTAAACATGCCAGGTGAACAACGTGAAGGAGCAAAGCATGGTGGTTACCTGTGTCCCATCCCTGGGCTTGGGAGTCATAGGCCAGTGTTCAGTGCATGTGCCACTCCAGCGAGCACCAGGCAGACCAATGTTCAGATCTGAGCTCTGTCATTTACTATCTTTGTGTCCTTGGACAAATTACTTAATACACATTTCTCCATCTCTAAAATGGGTGTAATAATGTCAAACCAACAGGATTGATACGAAGATTAAATGAGAAAAATATCTATTAAGTTTCTAGTATATATTAAGCACAAACATAAAATGAGCCCTAGGGAATTTCTAATGAACTAGGTTTTCTGGTTTACCAAAGTAAAAATTTTTAAAACACCTATTTTATAAATTTTTAAAAATCAGTCTCAAATACAGGAGTCTACTTTCTTGAACTCACTGGCTACCAGGCACTGACTTTTGACTTACATTCAGCTAAGTCTCACAAGGTAATTAGAAGTTGGATGGGCAGGAAACCAAGGAGGAACATTACAGGCAGAGGGAACAGGGCAGCCAGAGACACAAAGAGCATCCAGGGGAGAGGGGGTCGCAGGGTGTGACTCTGGTGTAGCTGAGGGGGAGCAAGCAGGAAGAGCACGCTGGGACCAGGTAGTAAGGAGCCTTAAAGTCCAGGCTCAAGAAGCTGGACTTTATTTTACAGTGCGTAATAAAGCCAAGAGAAAATTGTCACGTAGAGGCATGATTTAATCGTATCTACACTTTAGAAAGCTGTTAGAGCCGCTTGAAGGACAGACTGAAGAAGGTTAGAAGAGTGGCAGGGAGGTCACCAGCCCTGGCAAGACAGCAACCACTGGCCCAGACTAGGACAGAAGGAAGAGAGAGGTGGACAAGGGTAAGATATTTGAGAGGTAGGATCGTGGAAGTCTGGAGGGACCTGGCTCCTGGAGACCACCTGAATGTGAGGAATGAGGAAAAAAGGAGAGAGGGGGACAAGATTGACTCTGCATTCTGACTTGAGCCAGTGGATGGGCAGGGAACGCAGGGAAGAGCTGGATTTGAGAACTTGTTCTAAATCGTAACTACGTTTGGACATACTGCACATGATGACATGAAAATAGTAACACTAGCTTGTATTTATGGAGAATTTACCATACGCCTAGCACAATTCTGTCAACGCATATGAAACAACAGCCATTCAAGGCAGGTGCTGCTGTCATCCCTTTTTTTACAGACATGTAGCTCATTTTGGGAACCTCGTCAGGGTCCCACCGTTGGCGTTCGGCAAAGCTGGGATTTGAACCATGGTAGTCTGGCCCTAAGTCCGTGCATCGCACACCATGCCGTATGGCCTTTTAATATCCTTAAATCTTTGACGATGGAAGATCTTGTTACTCTTTTGGGTTGTCATGCTGTTTGATTATAGTAAGTCGGGACTCAAGTGACAAGGATGTAAGAAGCTGAATTTAGATCCATAGAAGTGACATTTACTGAGGGTTCAGTCCATTCCCCCACTGCACCCCCAAAGTTCCCTGGAAGGCTGGTTTTGACCAAATGTATTAGATTAGTTTGGTTTATAAACCATTTTCCTCTTTGGAACGTTTGGATTAGTTGAAGATTCCCGACAGTCAAGGTCCACTTGGTTATAGTTGGGTGGCAGCACGATGAGATCTTTACAGCGTCCATGGCCATTTCCCTGTCCCAGTGAGGCAGCGCTACCCTTTAAGGCAGGTACTGCCAAAAATGTTTCTTTTTTTTTCTTTTTTTTTAACATTTATTCCAGAGATAGAGAGGGCACGAGCAGGGGGAGGGGCAGAGGGAGAGGGAGAAGCAGACTCCCCACTGAGCAGGGAGCCCAATGCCGGACTCGATCCCAGGACCCCAGGATCATGACCTGAGCCGAAGGCAGACAGACGCTTAACCAACTGAGCAACCAGGGCGCCCCCTGCCAAAAATGTTTCTATTCTATAGGAAGAGCAGACTGGGGCACCTGGTGGGCTCAGTCAGTGGAGCAGGTGACTCTTGATCTCAGGGATGTGAGTTGGAGCCCCATGTTTTGTGTAGAGATTATTTAAAAATCTCTCTCAAAAAAAAAAAGGAAGAGCAGACCATCTTAAAAATCAGCTGAGGGGTCTGGGGAAGCTCAGACCTGTCAGAATAACGTAAAATGCCTGGATTGCCATGGGTGGATGAACGAGAACAGTTCTGCCCCGGGGGGACATGCGGCTGCTGGTTAGGTGGAATCCAGAGCCACGCAGCGTGATTACGGCTAGTGTGCAAAGGCAGCCCACGTGTGTGGACAGCCGCCCTGGGGAGAAGGGCCAGAGTAGTAGGCGCTGCCTTCAACCTTGAGGAGCTTACTGTTGAGCTGAAGAGAAAAGATGTACCCAGAGAATACACACCTGACATTTGCAAGTACAGAATCACATTCGTAATTACAGAATAATAAGCGCTACAGGAGTAAGCAGAGGATGAGGAAGAATTCATGTTCTCATTTCACACTCTGTTCTTGATGAACCAAGTACTATGTTAGACATTAACGTATAAGTTGTAATAGTTTTTATTGAGCCTTTCAGTGGTTTGGCATTGTGCTAGGTGCGTTGTGAGGATTGTCTGTATCCCCAGAGCAACTCAGTGAGGGAGAGACTGTTGTTATCCCTGTTTTCCAGATGAGCAAACCGAGGCCCAGGAAGGGTAAGGGACTAACCAAGGTCACACTAGCCACCAGTAGAAGTGCTGGGATACAGACCCAAGAGCACAACTCTAGGGGTCACACTCAACCACCATGCTGCACGGCTTCAAAAATCAGTAAAACGTGGTCCTTGCATCAGCAGACTCAGGTGGGAGACACAGGTGAATTATCACAGTGCTCTGCATGCGCACGGGGAGGGGTACAGACAGCGACCAGGGTGTCAAGGAGGTTACATGTCTTAAAATCAAATACCATTTTAGGGCAACCCAATTTGAACAATCCTGCAGATTATTCACCATGACTTCTCATTTATTTTTTGTAAAAGATTTATTTATTTATTTTAGAGAGAGAGAGAGAGAGCGCATGAGCAGGGGGAGAGGCAGAGAGAGAGAACCTCACGCAGACTCCTCACTGAGCATGGAGCCTGATACGGAGCTTGATCTCACGACCCTGAGATCATGACCTGAGCCAAAACCAAGAGTCAGGCGCTTAACCGACTGAGCCACCCAGATGCCCCATGACTTCTTATTTTAAAAGAAGGAGTAATTTCTCTCCTTTAAGGAATTGTTAAGTATATAACAGTGTTACACTGTCTAGGAAAAGGGTCTACCTAGATACTGGTTTTAAAAAAATCTGCTTTAGTTTCATATCCTTGATTTTGTTCCGTTTCACATTATTTTGCATCTTTTAATTTCTTTATTGATGTGTTTGTGTTTAGTCAGATTCGACAGTGGCCTATTCCTCCAGCTGGCACTGTACATTCCTTAAGACATATGCAAAACTAAAAAAAAAATAAAAATAAAAAAAAATAAAGACATATGCAAAACTTGTGGGGCGCCTAGGTGGCTCAGTCATTGGGCATCTGCCTTTGGCTCGGGTCATGATCCCAGGGTCCTGGGATCGAGCCCCACATCGGGCTCCCTGCTCCGCAGGAAGCCTGCTTCTCCCTCTCCCACTCCCCCTGCTTGTGTTCCCTCTCTCGCTATGTCTCTCTCTGTCAAATAAATAAAATCTTAAAAAAAAAAAAAAGACATATGCAAAACTTGAAACAAAGATGAATGTGTCTAGAGGTGCCTGGGCGGTTCAGTTGGTTAAACATCTGCCTTCAGCTCAGGTCATGATCCTAGGGTCCTGGGATCGAGCTCCACATTGGGCTCCCTGCTCAGCGGAGAGCCTGCTTCTCCCTGTCCCTCTGCTGCTCCCCTGCTTGTGCTCTTTCTCTCTCTCTCAGATAAATAAATAAAATCTTTAAAAAAAAAAAATGAATGTGCCTATGTTATAAAGGAGAAAAAGAATTTCCCTAAAAGGTGCAATACACATTGGTACCTCAAAATAGAGGTACGACATGGACACATTGAGTACTGTAAGGGAGGAAGACTTCTTACAACCTCAAAAAGAGAAGGAAATGTTAGTGTTTTTAATTACCCAGGATCTGCAAATTAGCCAGAAACAACAATCCATATCAAAATCAAATGTTTCTGAAAAAGGTCGCATCTGCTTTGCCTTCCTTTTAAATTCACTACTCCTGTGTGTTTGGATTTGGGGCATGTCCGTCTGTCCTCTAGCCAAGCTGTGCTAAATCAAGATAAGAATACATGGATAGTTTTACTTGTTGTTGGCCACCTGAGCTTGCTTTATGGACCCTGAACTTTGAAGTGTAGAAAATTCAAAGGCAAAGGAGGAGACAGTGGAGACTGTGTTGTTCTCTGTGACTCAGAGACCCCAAGTCACCACCCGCCACTGGTCATTTCCCAGGCGGAGTCTCTGTGAGATATCAGCACTACCAGCTTTTCTCACTCTTCCTTCCCAGCTTGGGTGGGGAAGGGGGAGGGTTAGACCTGAACTCTCTCTTTTTTTTTTTAAGATTTTATTTATTTATTCGAGATGGGGAGAGAGAGCGCGCACATGCGCAACAGTGGTGGAGAGGAGCAGAAGGAGAGGGAGAAGCAGATTTCATGCTGAGCACAGAGCCCGATGCGGGATTCGATCCCAGGACTCTGGGATCATGACCTGGGTCAAAGGCAGATGGCTAACTGACTAAGCCACCCAGGCGCCCCTAGATCTGAATTCTTATTAAATATTTTCTCAGGAAGAAAAATACCAGCAATTGAAACACCAAATATTTATCATTCTTTATTCTATTCTAATCCACATGCTAGTTAATATAGAAGAGAGGTAAAATTCCTCCAGAATTTGGAAGTGGGATTATGATAGTAACAATCGAAGTCCTTTGTGGAAATGATCCAAGAAAATGGCCTTTATAGATTTGGAAACACATTTAACGAAGGTGATGTATGTAAGGACTCGAGGGTAATTTAAGTAAAAGAAATGAAGCCTAATCACTTGTATTCTGTTCTAACCAGGAAAGAAGCTGTACTGATGGGAGGGCAGGAGAGGTGGGGGGAGGACAGCTGAGAGAGCAAGGGTTTGCCGTGTGTATACCCCTCTGCAGGAGGAGACCAGCTGCTCGAGGCAAAAATCCCACCCCCACAGACACAGTCTAGGTTTCAGGCTTCACCATGGTCTGGATGAAATAATACTGAATAATAACAGTTGTAATTAATTAGGCACCTACTGTATTCCAGGCTCGGGGTTAGGTTCTGTTTTATGTTATGTGGTTTAGTCCCAACAGAACAACTTATCTCCATTTTACGAATGAGGAAACAGACCCAGAGAGGTGAAATGACGTGCCTGAAGTTACACAGCTAATGGGGAACAGAGCTGGGCTTGAATCTGGATCTGATTGTGAATACTGATTTTTAATTCATTGGTGTTTTTTTTTTTTTTTTTTTAACTGAGTGCCTACTAAGTGCCAGGACCTGTTCTAGATATTAGGGATGCAGCAGTAAACAAAACAAGCAAAACTCCCTGCACTCCGGGAGCTTATGTTCTAGTGAGTACACACCACTAAGTAAATCACAGAGTCCGACAAAGGGCGCTGTAGCCTGGTAAGGCAGGGTGGGTACCAGAGAATGCCAGGACGAGGTTACAGGCTGAAACTGTGCGGACAAGGAGGGCCTGGCTGAGGAGGCAGCCCACTGGGGGTGTGACAGTGAGCCCCAGGGATATCTGGGAGAAGAGTAGAGTGAACAAGTGCAGATCTTTTCAGTTTCCCTTTGCTCTCCAGGACTGCCTGCATCTCTCATCCCGACTCTGGGCCCAGCAGCCACCTTTCTGATTACTAATTCTGGTCCCTGTGTGTCCTGAAACCTGGCAGAGAGCACCCTGAATGGCACAGTTACTAGACAGGTGTACTCCCTGGGATCGGATAATAAATTGGCATCTGGTCTGTGTAAGATCATTTAGGGTGAGTCAGTCTCTAAGAAGTTGATCCCTCCGGTATTCAGAACCCACGGTGGAAGAGGTCAGTCTTCCGAGGCAGGAAGGGGCCAGGCTTCGCACTCGGGCGGGCGTGGGTCCCGACCCCAGTTCCGCTGCAAGCTGCCTATGGTACCAGCTCAGTTGTCCTCAGCTCCCAGGCCCGGGGGACATGAAGGCAACAGCACTGACCGCTCGGGATATTGGCGAGCATGAGCAGTGATAGTGTATGTAAAGCTCTAGCCACTCTGCCTCACTTAGAAAGGGTTCAGGACATGGTCGTTCCACCCTTGGGCCTTAGCTGTGTGGCCACTTGACGTCCCTTGGTGATATGTCTTCTGACTTTACATAAAACCGAACCCAGCGTTGTATGTGCCTGCTATATTCCTGTTCCCTCTTCTGCTCGCACAGTTTTCACAAGCACTTCCATTTGTTGACGCTATTCCGCAGTTACCTGGAATGCCTGCAGTGTGGTATGCTGTCCTGCACTCGACTTGGCTCTGGAACATCCAGCTCGGGTTCTGGTTCTGCAGTGCTGTCAGCTCTGCGAACTGGGATCACGTAATCTCTCTGAAGCTCACTCTTTGTAACATGAGGGAGTAGACCATATGATGTCCAAGTTTCCTCCTTAAACCTGCCCTTGAGATACTCCAAGGGTCATAGTCAGGTAGCCTGCAGATAGATTTGTTTCTTCTCCTTAGCAGTTTTAATGCATTAAGCTTGTGATCCCTGCCATTTACCCAGCAATTCCATTTTTGGAATTTAATTAGGAAATCACACACGTACACAAAGACGTGTACACAAAGATATACAAGGGTGCCCATCAAAATATTCCTTGTAACAGTGAAAGCCAAAAGCAGCTTCAGTATTCAGACACTGATGGCCGGGTTTCCGCGGTTTCCATGAGCTCCCGCTGTGTGCCACGCTCTGGTCTGGTGCTTAGGATACATCTGTGAACCGAACCAGGCTCGACAGAAAAAAGCCAAGTGTGAGATACGTTAGAAGATGGGAAGTGCTATGGAAAAAGGGAAAATGAGCAGGTTGAGGGGGATCCCGTGTGTGGAGAGTATGGTTTCAGACATGGTAGCCGGGTGGGCCTCATTGAGAAGGACTTGCAGTTGGCGAAGGAGGGACTCAGCTACGCAGATGTCAGGGAGGAACACACTCCAGGCAGAAGGAACAGCCAGTGCCAGGGCCCTAAGGCGGGAACATGCCAATGGCTTTAAGGAAGAGAAGGACGCTGGGTGCTGGAGCAAGATGAATGAGGAGGAGGACAGGGAGGTCAGCAGGGGATCCGGGGCCAAATTACAAAGGGCTTTGTTGGCCTTTGTGTAGATCGGCTTTTATTCTGAGTGAAATGGGAAGTCTTTGCAGGATTTGGGCAGAGGAGTGCCATGATCCGTTTTATGTGTTAGAGGAGACAGTGTGGTTAGTTGAGAATAGGCCACAGGGAGACCAGGAGAGACAATAACGTTAGGCGGGTGTTGCACAACCAGGGAAGAGAGATGGTGACTCAGAGGAGAATCTAAAGAAAGTGGAAACAAACAGATTCCTGGCATATTTGGAAAACGAAACCAACAGGACTTGCTGACAGATTGGACATGGGGTGTGAGAGGCAAGAGGTGGAAGATGACTCCGGTCTTCTGTCCAAGTAACAGGAGGGAAGGGGCCCCGTTGGTGACCAGGGGAGGCCTGCGTGGGATGGGCCTGGGGGAGGAGTGCAGGAGTTGGGTTTGAGAAATGTTAAGCTGGAGAAATCTGTTGGGCATCCACGAGAAGACTAGTCCTTACTGGCTGTTAATATTTCATGTACCTCCCATCTTTAGCTGAGGAGCTGACTCTCCAGATATACTGGTTGAAGGACGGAACAAGAAAAATTATTCAAATATTAAGTGAAATGAGTATCAGATGCTCCTATTTTGTTTTATATATAGGATATGTGTCTACACACGTGTTTGTGTAAGAAAAGGTACAGATAGATACCAAAATATTAACAGTAGTTATATGGGATTTGACTTCTGAGTGATTTCAACTTAATTTCTTTCTCCTTTTGAGAATGTGTACTTTCTAATATCTATCTCTACCAAGTAATTTGTATAAAAGGGGGAATTGTTCTGAAGAGTGAGAAGACTGACTTCTATCGATAAATCATAGTTATTTTTCCAATGATTGCCGAGTTTTTGAACCCTTGGACTTTTTACAGGTGTTTTTCCTTGTGAGTAGAGGCACTATGAGCAGATCGCTTTCTTTTTTTTTTTTCTTAAAGATTTTATTTATTTATTTGACAGAGAGAGACACAGTGAGAGAGGGAACACAAGCAAGGGGAGTAGGAGAGGGAGAAGCAGGCTTCCTGCTGAGCAGAGAACCCGATGCAGGGCTCGATCCCAGGACCCTAGGATCATGACCTGAGCCGAAGGCAGATGCTTAACGACTGAGCCACCCAGGTGCCCCAGCAGATTGCTTTCTTTTCTTATGAAGTATGTTCTCACAATCTCCCAAAATTCGAAATAATGGGGACTAAAAGATACAAAGATTTGTAGCTCTTAAATATTGCCAGATTATTCTGCAATAATAAAACTGAACCGATTTAGAATATCAGCAATGGAAAAAAAATGCCCATCAGCCTATTAGGAAAGATATCCTCCCCTCCTAGGTCAGGATTTCAATTGCACACCAAAAAATCACTTACAGCATTTCTTCATCTACCATGGGGCATAAAAAGGCCTCATGTAGGTCTTCCATACTTTGCAGGTGTAGGAATTGGCGTGGTCCATGCTGGGTACGAGAGACGCCTGGCCCATCACCTGGGAGCGCATAGCACTCCCTCTATCCTGGGAATCATAAATGGGAAAATCTCCTTCTTCCATAATGCAGTCATCCGCGAGAACCTACGACAGTTTGTAGAAAGTCTTCTTCCAGGGAACTTGGTGGAGAAAGTAAGTACCTGGCGGAACAGTAGTTTACAAGGTACCTGGGAGCACTGGTGGCCCTGAACTCTGTCTGTGGTCATCTCAGACCTGAGTGTCATTTTGAATAGGACAAGACGTATGTTAATTAATTACTCAACCGAAATCATTTAAATGAAGTCTGTTGGAGACTGAAACAAGGTAAAAAGACTGAGAGAATCCCTCCCTGTTAGTAACCACTGGGCACGTTTACACGGTGGTGGGGATCTGAGCCTGAAATGACAATGACTCTGATTTTCTAAACCAAAAATTCAATCACAATGTAGGATGAAGGATTTCTTTCTGACTCGTGAGTTTGTTCATTTGAAGGTATTTGTCTTATGAAAGGATTCAGATTAAGTTACATTTGGCTATATATTTAACAACCACATCTATGGAAAACACAAGACTCCATGAAGTCAAATACTTTTTGGAACTTCCAGAGCTTAGAGTAATACAAGTATGAATAAATTTCACAAACAAAAATTGTGCTAAAGAAGCCAGGTACAAAGAGTTCATACTAGTTTATGATTTTTATACTTAAGAAGCATTTTTTCCTCCAGTATCTTAGATTAGGGATCAAAGGAACTAGAACAAGATTCTTGTTTGCTTTAAGTGATTCATTCCTTTAACTGTACCAGGGAGAGTGAACATACCAACAATTCCAACCTATTTCCACATGCACTATTCATAGACTATCCCACCAGGATCATTATCCACAGAAGAAATATTTGTTGGAGCTAGCAGAGAGCAGGGCAGGCTCCTAGAATGATTGTAGGTTGTCCAGATGGGTCCTCAAACATTTATGAAATGTCTGTTCTCTGCCAGTCGCTGCAAGTGTTGAGAACACTTTTCAAGGAGCTCCCAGTCTAGTGGGTGATTATTTCCATCTCATCTGCTGAGAGGCTGCCCACGAGAGCTGAGAAAGGCTTCTTGGCAGAAACGGTCCCTGCACTGAGTTCACCAAGTGAGGAGAGAGAGGGAATGAGTTGCAGGCGGACAGAGGTCTGGGACATGAAGCAGTCAGCTCTGCGTGAAGTAGTCACTAGTGAGCAGGAGAGGGCAAGACTAGAGGGCTTTACAGGAATCTCACTGCCAGGACCTCCAAGCGCCCGGCCGCCCTGGTGAGAAACTTGGGCCTTGGTTTGCAGGTGCTTAGAGCCATTGAAGGGGGCTGAGCAGAGAGTGAATGATCAGATTGAGGTTTAATAGAGATCATTCTGGAAGCAGAATGGAAAGATAAATGGATTTTTTAACTATGAAGAATTTCTAGGTAAAATTTTTATTCGTGTTTTTTATATTCTCAGTAGGATTATTTAAGGCATAAACAGGGAAGCACAAAAGTAGCAGTTCACATGGTAATAAATGAAATGGTGTAACATACAGACTGAGTGGGCCCCCTTATTCTTTTAAGCCATTTTAGAAGCAATCATGGCATTATCTTCCACAGGGTAATAGATTAAGAAGGACAGTCTATAACAGATTAAGAAGCATGTCTATAATTCAAAAGTTCAATTTTTTTATAACGTGCTCAGTAATTACTCCAGAAAAGATTGTGATTTCAGTCTATAAGATTGGGAACACATGAAAATATGAAATCAGTAACTATTCTTTTAAACCGTTTTAGTCAGAGACAAAAAATTAGTGGTCTGCATTTTTTATTTTTTACAAAACAATCTTTTACAGATACTGGGTTTTGTTTCATTATCTCCTGACTACATTATAATGCAGTTGTTGAGAACTGAATACTGAAACTAACCTCCTCTCTTCCACTTAAGGTTACAAATAAAAATTACGTCCGATTCCTCTCTGGCTGGCAGCAAGAGAATAAACCTCGTGTCCTTCTGTTTGACCAGATGCCCGTCGTACCACTGCTGTACAAGGTATATGAGGTGCTGGGGGAATGTTTGCTCTTTTTCTGGTGGAAGGAACTTGTGGCCTGCTTGTCCTTTTCGTAAGAGCTTATCCAAAGAGAAATGTTTGAAGACCAGAAATCTGCCTTAGCCGCCATACACTGAGCACCTCCTGATACCATTAAATGTGCTAGTGCATTCCACACACATAAGAGCATGGAATCTTCAGAAGAGCCCAGTGATACAGTATCATCCCTGTTTTATAGACCAAGATACTGAAGCTCAGAGAGGTTGTATAACCTACCCCCGTGGTGACTGCATGATTCCCAGACCCGCCCTCTGAATGACCCCGTCTGCAGCACTTCCAGTACCTCTCTGGTTAACCCTGTGACATGAGATGGGAGAGGAAAGTGTCCTGCTTAACCCCTGGCACGGTCACTGCCGTCTTCCATAATTGAGGTGATTCCTCAAACACTCCCATGTCTCCAACCCAGTGTAGATCTCAGTAAACTGAATATTTTTCTCCATCTGTAAAAAAAAAAATAAAATTCACTGTGTTTGGCTTTGTGGATCCAGTTTTCGGGCATGAACACCATAGAATTCCTCCAAGTGCACAGAGGTCTAGCAGCCCGAGTGGGGCTATACAAGCTAGCATTCGTCTCCACCATTGGTGTGAACTTGTCACACTTGGGTTTGTGTGATCCGCTGCCAGTTTAATTTCTTCCTCTCTCTTACACACTGACAGTTGACTGCTTTTGCATACAAAGATTACTTGTCATTTGGATATGTACACGTCGGTTTGAGAGGGGCGGAAGAGATGACAAGACGGTACAATGTCAATGTCTATGCCCCCACCATCTTGATCTTTAAAGAACACATAAACAAGCCTGCAGATGTTATCCAGGTACGTGAGAGTTGCCCTGTTGTGAGATTGCCCTCGCATTGTATCTTGGGCCTTTAGAAATAAACAGCAACATTGAACAGAGCAAGTGAGAAGGAGAAATTCGTTTTTAATTTCTTCCTTCAGAGGCATGAAATTTAAAAACGAGTTTGGTTTTCATCCAGTTTGGGACTGTTTTGCTCAAAAAATAATCCTTTGACAGAAAATAGGATGGTGGCGATGCCAAGAGCTGAGGGAGGAAGATAATGGGGAGTTGGTGTTTCATGGGGACATTTTCCGTTTGGGATGGCGGCGAGAGCAGTTGCACAACAATGTGAATGTATTTAATGCCACAGAATTATGCACTTGGAAATGGTTAAAATGGTCTATTTATGTTATATATATTTTGCAAGTAAGAGGGGCACCTGGCTGGCTTAGTCATAGAGCATGTGACTCCTCTATCTCGGGGTTGTAGGTTCAAGTCCCACATTGGGTACAGAGATTACTTAAAAATAAAATCTTTAAAAAAAAATTTTAAAAATAAGAAACAATAATCACTTTATCTCTAAAGTGATCCTGTCAGAAAATCAGTAATCTTATTCTAAAATAAATTACAAAGATAAATTTAAAAGTTAAATATAAGACAACAATAAAAAGGAATGAAAGAAAACCATAAACTAACTTGGAGAACATATAAGTGAATATCTGAGCTTAAGATAAAGAAGGGTTAAAAATCTCGGAAAATCTTGTTTTATAAGTTTTAAATTTGTATATAAATACTTAAAAGTTTTAAGTTAAACAATAAGCTAAGAGAAATATTTACAACCAATCTAAAAAAGATGGTTATCTTTAATTTCTCATGAGCTTCTTCTAATCAAAGAGATCAACACAAAACTTACCGAAAGTGATCGCTTAATGGGTATAGGGTTTTCTTTCAGGGTGATGGAAGTGTTTGGGACTAGAGAGAGGTGATTGTTACAAAACACTGTGCATGTACAAAATGCCATGGAGTGATACATTTTAAAATAGCTAATTTTATGTTATGTGAATTTCACCTCAATAAAAAAAAAAATTTTAATAAAACTTCCCAAGAAGAGTAGGTTGAGAATATGAATAAAATTCTGAGAAGAGATTTAGGTGACTGATAGTCACTTTTAAAAATTAAATCTCACTAATCAAGAAAAACCAGTTTAACATTTTCTTCTCCTCCCATCACATTGTTAAAGATTTTCAAAGTGAAGATACTCAGTTGAGAGTGGAGAGAAACAGTCGGTCTTTTGTTTGGCCAAGCTGGAGGAAGCTTCAGAAGTTTTCAGAAAAGTAGTTGGGTGGTAATAGGCCAATTGCGTTGATTCATTCAGGAAAAGAGTATTCCTGAGTACCTGAGTACCTTATGTGGGCCAAACACTGCCCCTAGTGCTGGGGACAAAGCCCTGAACAAAGTCACCTGAATTCCCTGTTCCAGGGTCTGTCCTGTGTCTAGCGGGGATGACAATGGGCATAACATACTCCATGGTGCCGTGTCATATGGGGAGAAGCGCTAAGGAGAAAAATAAAGCAGGAAAAGGGAATGTGGAGTTGGGAGAGCAGGTTCACATTTTTTAAGGTAGAATGACCAAGAGGGGCCTCACTAAGAGGAGGCTTGCGTAAAGACCTCGGGAAGATGAGATTACCTTTTAGGAATCTGTCCTCAGGGAAAAGGAATTCAGACCAAAATTACAGAGACATTATCGTTTGTAACCAATTTCACTGGGGGAAAAATACAAATATCCAACAGTAAGCTAATTATTGGTATATACCAAGCAGGGACTACTACATAGTCATTTAGCCGTTAGAACGGCTGTTCTAGAACACTTACTGATGGGGACAGTTTTCATAACATAATGTTAAAAAGAACATGCAGGATGCAAAATTGAGGTTCCTCACCCTGTAGCAGGTCTGAACTCTGTGGTCATCTCAGACCTGAGTTCCATAGTAGTTAATTACTCAAACAAAATCATTTAAATGAAGTCTGTAAAAGCCTGAAAATTGAAACAGATGAAGCACAGAGACTGAAGGATCTCAATACATACCAATTCCATACACACTCTAAACCCTGATCTCGATTTTGTGACGTGTGTGTATGTGCATGCATGTGCATAGGAAAAAGCCGGAAATAAATACATCTCTTGATGGTAAAATTACATATTATCCTAATATTGGGGTTTTCAAAAATCCCTATCATGAACACGTATTATTTTATTTCTTTAATGTTATTTTTGTTTTGTTTTGTTTTAAGGATTTTTTTTCACATAATCTGCACCCAAAGTGGGGCTTAAACTTACAACCCTGAGATCCAAGAATCAGCATGCTCCACCGGCTGAGCCAGCCAGGTGCCTCTATTTTTTTTTAAAAAGCACTAAGATCCCTTTGATTTACTTTCTCGTAAAGGAAGCTAGAATGAGAAGTTCTATAAAATCCTTTATTTCATTCACTCAGTAAACATTTTGTTTCCTGCCTGCTGTGTGAAAATACAGAGGAGCTCTGACATCCAGAGTTAGTCTTTGTCCTCACAACTCCATCAGAGGAGAGAGGCCTGAAGGCAATTTCCATCCACTGGCATGGGTGACTCACTCAGATGTGAAAGTAGAGGAAGGGCACTTGAGGCTGGGACTAAAGGAAGGATGGCGTCTGAGGCAGAACCAGATGGGGGAAGGGAAGGGGACAGTGAGGAGAGAAGGGCAGGTTTAGGAAGAAGGTAATGAATTCAGTTGTGGACGTACAGAATGCGAGCTGCCTGCAGGAAGTCTGAGGGGAGGTGTCCATCGGACAGTAGGGTGTAGGGATCCAGGTCTTAGTGAGCTGGGGAGAGAGATCTGTAGCACCTCAGTGAGTTGTGAGAGGTAGAAGTCCTCAGTGTGGCGCAATCTCCCAGCCATACATAGTAGGTGAGGTAAGGAGAGAAGGGGGCCAGGGACAAAATTCTGGACAACCGCCGGCAATTAAAAAGGGGGTGCCCTGCCCGATGGCAGCTGAGGAGCTGAGAGAATCAGGAAGAAAACATGCTGGTGGTGAAGAAAGGAAACGAACTTCTCAGTTCAAGATTAATCTATGAAGACTTCCTAAATTGCTTTTCAGTAATAGCTTCTACTCTTGAGAATGATTTATTTATTCCTCAGGGAAAATTGTAACTCAAATACATTTACAGAATTACTGGCACAGGGGTGCCCGGTGGCTCAGTTGGTTAAGTGTCCGACTCTGGATTTCGGCTCAAGTCGTGATCTCAGGGTCACGAGATCGAGCCCCTCACGAGGCTCTGCGCTGGGGGTGGAGCCTGTTTAAGATTCTCTGTCGCCCTCTGCCCCTCCCCTCTCCTGTGCACACACACATGCTCGCTCTCCCTCTCTAAAAAAAAATTACTGGCACAATGGATGCTTTACCAGTTTGCTCCTATGGATAAAAGCACCACTTGTTCCGTGGAGCACTACTGAATTTGTTTTATTTGCTGAATAGTATTTTTGGCCACATGGTAATTTCTTGATTCATTCTTCCATCAGTGGGCATTTCGGGGCTTTAGGAGCCATGTTGTCATGAACATCATGGGTATCTCAGTCTATCTGGGTTTCTCTAGGACAGCAGTTTTCAGAATGAGGTTCACAGACCCTGGGGTGGGGGTGAGAAGTCTGTGAGATCAAAACAGCACGGAGACGTAATTTGTCCTTTTTCTCTGTGTTGACACTTGCACCGATGGTGTGAGAGCTGTGGTGGGAGAAACTGCCAGTGCATAAGCCCAGGACCTAACCCAGTGCATAAGCCCAGGACCTAACCCAGTGCGTAAGCCCAGGACCTAACCCAGTGCGTAAGCCCAGGACCTAACCCAGTGCATAAACCAAGTTACAACCCAGGACATAAACCCAGGCCTGGGCCCCAGACTACCAATAAGCATCTGTTTTTCTCTCCTAAGCACTCACCATAAAAACAAACAGAAACAACACTCCTTTATCACTTAATGCCCTTGATGAAGCAGTAGCAGGTATTAATTTTATTAATAAATAGATTGACCCCTGAGTACACGTCTTTTGGGTATTTTTAACATTCTGTGTGACAAAACAGGAACACTGCTGTGTGCCAGAGTATAAAGATTGTTGTCTGGAGGGTAAGCATTTGTGTGATGACTTAACTCGTGAGTTTTGAACTAGCCCCCTTTTTTAATGGAACATTGTTTTTACTTGAAAGAATAACTGACAGACAGCTAGGGTTATTCAGACTTGGGTTTGTTACAGGTATTTCCTAAAAACTGAACATAGTGAGCCTAGCACTTTAAGGGAAGCAACTGACAGTATGTGTTGCCAATGATAAAATTCAGGCTTCCAAGAAAATCAGAATTCTGAAAAATTTGTACCGGCCATTATGAGCTTCTCAAAACTTTCTGATGAGATTGGTTCATCTGTGTGGTGTGCTTTTTTTTATATGTATAATAAAATTCATCAGCATTTGGAAGATCAGAACCAATATTTTCCAAATGACCAATGAATGCATGATTTTTAAAAATCATGCCTGAGTAGGGGCGCCTGGGTGGCTCAGTCATTAAGCATCTGCCCTCAGCTCAGGTCATGATCCCAGGGTCCTGGGATCGAGCCCCACATCAGGCTCCCTGCTTGGCGAGAAGCCTGCTTCTCCCTCTCCCACTCCCCTGCTTGTGTTCCCTCTCTCGCTGTGTCTCTCTCTGTCGAATAAATAAAATCTTAAAAAAAAAAAAAAACATGCCTGAGTAAAAGATCCATTTTAGTGCAAGGTGATCAGTGAGTTTAAATTTAACAAAGTATTAAAAGTTCCCTGAATCCAGGGACACCTAGCTGTGACTCTTGATCTCAGGGTCATGAGTTCAAGCCCCATGTTGGGCATGGAGCCTACTTTAAAAAAAAAAAAAAAGCATAAAGGTGTTCTGAGACCAGGAAGTTTTGAGAACTGTTGCTTCCCGGGTATATCTGGTTGCAAAATCGCTGGGTCCTGGGGTCTGCGCATCTCCAGCTTCTCTAGATAATGTTTTCCGAAGTGATGTTACCAGTTTACATTTCCACCAGTCACGTGTGAAAGTTTCATTGCTCCACATCCTTGCCAACACCAGTTCGATTTAATTTTTCTGAGTTGACTGATTAATGGTATCTCATTGTGATTCTGCTGTGCATTTCCCTTAATCACAAGAAAGCGGATGATGGGCCTGTTGGATTTCCCCTTTTGTGACATGACTGTCAAGTGTTTTACCCATTTTTTTCCTATTGAATTGTCTGCCTTTTTGCTAATGATTTGTACCAGTTATTTATACAACTGAAATCATGCAGTGTCTGGCTTTTGTCAGCTTATATTTGTGAGGTTCATACATGTTGGCATGAATATACTACAGTGTATCTGTGCAGGCTGCTGCTGACAGACGTTTTGCTTTTCCCAGTTTTTAGTGATTTGACCAGTGCTGCTGTGACTATATTCTTGCATTTGGCGTCTTTTTGATGAACATATGTTATTACTTTTAATGTATTCACTCGTGCCAACATTTTCCTTTATGATTGATTGGTTCTGTTTGTTTACTGTTTAAGACATCTTCCCCTACGTCAAGATAATAAAGATAATCCCTTCACGGAGCTTCTAAAAGCTTTATAGTTTGCCTTTTATACTTAGGTATTGGCCATTTGCAAATAGTCTTGAGGGGCGCCTGGGTGGCTCAGATGGTCAAGCATCTGCCTTCAACTCAGGTCGTGATCCCAGGGTCCTGGGATCGAGCCCCGCATTGGGCTCCCTGCTCCACAGGAAGCCTGCTTCTCCCTCTCTGACTCCCCCTGCTTGTTTTCCCTCTCTCGCTGTGTCTCTCTCTGTCAAATAAATAAAATCTTAAAAAAAAAAAAAAGAAATAGTCTTGATAACTCACAGAGCAAATCCTCCCACTTTGTTTTTTGGATTTTAGGAGGATGGGGGAGCTTCTTCAATAGCATCTTGACTATTCTTGGTCTTTTGTATGTTTTATATACATATTACATTCTGTCTGTCAAGTTCCCATCAAAACCAACAAACGTGTTGGGATTTTATTGGGTTTGTATTGACTCCTTAAATTAGTTTGGGAAGAACATGCATCTTGGCAAAAATTAGCCTTCCAACCTATGAGCATCGTATATCTGTTTTCATTTGTTTAGGTGTTCTGTAATATGTCTCTATAAGCTTTTATAATTTTCTCTGTGAAGATCGTACTTTTTTTCCAGCTTATTTCTAGGTACCTCATATTTTTTAATGCTATTGAAAAGGGTATCTTTTTTTTTTTTTTTAAGATTTTATTTATTCGACAGAGAGAGTCACAGTGAGAGAGGGAACACAAGCAGAGGGGGTAGGAGAGGGAGAAGCAGGCTTCCTGCCAAGCAGGGAGCCCGATGTGGGGGTCGATCCCAGGACCCAGGGATCATGACCTGAGCTGAAGGCAGACGCTTAACGACTGAGCCACCCAGGCACCCGAAAAGGGTATCTTTTTTACTGCATTTTCTGTTTGGTGGTATTAAGTAATACAATTGATTTTTTTAAAGATTTATTTATTTTTAGAAAGAGTGTGTGCTTGTGAGTTGGGGGGAGGGGCAGAGGGCGAAGGAGAGAGAGAATCACCAGCAGACTCCCAGCTGAGCACAGAGCCCTGTGGGCTGGATCCCACAACCCTGAGATCATGATCTGAGCCAAAATCGAGAGTCAGATGCTCAACCAACTGAGCCACCCAGGCGCCCCTACAATTGATGTTTAAACATTGACTTTGTGTCCAGAAATCTTGCTAAACTCTCTTACTGATTGAAATAACTTATCTGTACCATCTTTGGGGTTTGCTAAATACACAAACATATCATCTGAGATTAATGGCAGTTTTGCTTCTGTTTTATTTCTTTTTCTTACTTTACTGTGACCTCTGGTGTGACAGATAGAAATGTAGTGATGGAGGGGGTTCCTGGGTGGCTCAGTCAGTTGAGCATCTGACTCTTGATTTTGGCTCAGGTCATGATCTCAGGTCGTGGGAACGAGCCCCAAGTCAGGCTTCGCGCTCAGCTGGGAGTCTGCTGGAGATTCTCCCTCTCCCTCTGCTCCCCTTCCTGCTCACATGTGCGAGCATACACATGCTCCCTCTCTCTCTCTCTCTCTCTTCCCCTAAAATAAATAAATAAATAAATAAATAAAATCTTAGAAAGAAATGTAGTGATCAGGGCATCCTTGTTCTTGATCTCCGTGTCCCCCATAAGTATGATGTTTGCAGAAGGCTTTTTATAGCCACCTTCATCAGGATAAGGAAGTTCCCTTCTATTCATTAATGACCTGAATGGTATTGGTTTTTATCAGATGGATTTTTCCACAGCCATTGAGATTATCCTGATTTTTCTTCTTTAATATTTTGTCTTCTAAAATGTGCTAAATATATTAATTTATTTTCTAATGTTCAACCTAATTTGAGTTCATCAGGTAAGTCCAACAAGATCATGATTTGTATTATGCTTTCAACATATTGCTGGATTCAATTTGCTAGTACTTTGTTGAGGATTTTTGCATTTGTGTTCAGAAATGAGGTTGACTTCTGGCTTTCCTTTCTCCTGATGCCCATGTGAGGCTTTGCATCATAAAGTGAGGTGGGTGCACTGTCCCTTTTTCTGTTCTCAAGAAGACTTTATGTAAGATTGGATTGTCCTCTTGAAAGTTTCATCAAAACCATCTGTAACGCCATCTGGGCCTTGAGTTTGTGTTTAAGGAAAGATCTCTGACTGCCACCAGTTCACCTTCTTTAACGGTTACACAACTATTTAAGCTTTCTATTTTTTCAGATACTGCTATAGTTTTCTAGAAATTTGTCTATCTCATCTTAATTTTCAAATTTAAATAAATTTTTCTTTTAACTTTTACACGTAGGTGGTGATTCCTCCTTGTCATTCTTGATAATGGTTACTTGTGCTTTCTCGTTTGCATGATAGATTTTTCCAGTGGTTTGTCAATTTTATTAGCTCTCCCAGAGAGCCAGCTTTGGCTCTGTTAATTCTTTCTTCTCCTTTTTCTATGTTTGTTTTGCTTCATGGATCTCTATTTTTATCTTTATTATTTCTTTATCCCTTCAAATTTTTTGCTGTTTCTTTTTAACTTGATATGGGCATCTAGGTCATTAATTTTTCTGTTTTATTCATTGTAACATTACCCTCCAAGTATGGCTTTATCTGTACCCAAGGGTTTATAAATAGTACTATCATGAGTCATTCAAATTCATGGGGCATCTGGGTGGTACAGTTGGTTAAGTGCTCTACTTTGTTTTGGGGTCAGGTCATGATCTCATGATCGTGGGATGGAGCCCCAAGTCAGGCTCCATGCTCAGTGGGGAGTCTGCTTGAGATTCTCTCTCCCTCCCTTTCTGCCCCTCCCACTCATTCAGTCTCTCTCTAACAAATAAATAAATCTTTAAAAAAAATTCAGAGTGGGTGCCTGGGTGGCTCAGTTGGTTAAGTGACTGCCTTCGGCTCAGGTCATGATACTGGAGTCCCAGGATCGAGTCCCGCATCGGGCTCCCTGCTCGGCAGGGAGTCTGCTTCTCTCTCTGAACCTCCCTCCTCTCATGCTCTCTATCTCTTTCTCTCTCTCAAAAAAAAAAAAATTCAGAGTATTTTCTTAATATCTGATAGGCTCTTCTGACATAAGCAGGTGATTCAAACATGTTCCTTAACATGTAGGGATTTTCTTGTTTACATTTTATATGGATTTCTAGATTGTAGTCAGACAACCTACTTTATATATAATTTCAATCCTCCAAAATGCACAAAAACTAATAATAACAAAGTGGCCATCATACAGTTTTGTAGTCTGCCTTTTATACTTACTAACTATGGAGTTTGTTTTTAATTGTTCAGTTTGCTGTCCATCTTATGTTTTTCTTTTTTAAAGATTTTATTTATTTATTTGACAGAGACATAGCGAGAGAGGGAAGACAAGCAGGGGGAGTGGGAGAGGGAGAAGCAGTCTTCCCGCTGAGCAGGGTGCCCGATGAAGAGCTCAATCCCAGGATCCTGGGATCATGACCTGAGCCGAAGGCAGATGCCCAACGACTGAGCCACCCAGGCGCCCCCAAACCGACTTTTTAAATCTGCCAGCATGTAACCATATACAAAAATTCTTCAGTGGAAAAGACACTTGATTTTCCTTTGACATGAGATAGCTCCACCATTGCTTTCAGCCCTGCACTGTTGAAATAGATCACTAATGTTTATTTGCTCAAACAGATCTGTCTTATTTGTTCTATTACTTTAGCCTGGGTCAGCCAGATATTTTTTTCCAGTTTTTTTTTTTTTAATGACTTTTTTCCTTGAGTATAGTTTACATACAGCGTGACAGTAGTTTCAGGTATACAAGATAGTGATTCGGCTTCTCTGTATGCTGTGCTCACCACGAGTGGGGCTACCATCTGTCACCATACACCGCTGTTACAGTATCATGGGTCAGCCACGTTGTTTTTTTAAGCTTTAAGTAAAGCCCACTTGCAGTGAGAAAAGGGCATAAAACTCAGCTGTTCCTTGGTTTTTCTGCAGGCCCGAGGTATGAAGAAACGGGTCATTGACGACTTCCTCACCCAAAACAAGTATCTACTGGCAGCCAGGCTCACCAGCCAGAAGTTCTTCCATGAGCTCTGCCCTGTAAAGCGGTCTCACCGACAGAGGAAGTAAGGACTCCAGGCTTTGCCTCTGCTTGTCGTTGCAAGAGAGGGGCCACGTCGCATTTCTCTACCGGGCAATTAAACATCGACCTGTGACATCAGAACTTATTCTTTATGTTAGTAGTGGGGTGTATTAATCCAGGGTGTCAGCCTGGCCTGGGGTCAGAGAAGATCTCCCTAATTCATAACCCTTTAGCTGAGGCCAGAAGGATGAGTAGACTTTAGCCAGCTGTCAAGGAGAGGCTGGGTCACTTTATTTATGTATGTATGTATGTATTTAGATTTTATTTATTTGTCAGAAAGAGAAAGAGAGAGCACAAGCAGAGGGGAGCGGCAGGCAGAGGGAGAGGGAGAGGGAGAAGCAGGTTCCCCGCTGAGCAGGGAGCCTGATGTGGGGCTCGATCCCAGGACCCTGGGATCATGACCTGAGCCGAAGGCAGACGCCTAACCAACTGAGCCACCCAGGCATCCAGAGGCTGGGTCATTTTAAAGAAGCCTGGATGAGCAAGTCACTGCTCCTACTAGGGGCCCCATGCAGGGCGGGACTTTGGAGGCCTGGGGTGGGGAGCTGGGAAGACACTAACCCTAGGGAAGTGTAGGACACTGAAGAAATGTTCAGAGAATTAGCTGGGAATGGGAAGGCTGAAGCATACTTACTCATACAGAGTATCTTAAAAAGTCGAAATACAGGGGAAATATTTATTAGACACCTTTCAGATTAATGAGTCAATGGCTTTAAATGTAGGGCTGTTGTGCAATGTGTCTAGATATGGAAAGGAGGAAAACCTACTGGTCATCTTATTTGAAAATACAACTACAGTATTGTTTAAAGTGAGAAAACTTCCCTATGTTTCCAGTTTTTCTGATTCCTTTATAAGACTAAGAGAGAAGAAGACTTGAATTCGATATAAAGAAGACTATCATGGACTCCAGGGATTATTGTGTGCATGGCCTTCAGAAACTATCCCAGATCCACACACTTCTCACCTTTTTTACTACCACCAGCTTTGGAGACCCCGGTGCTAGCCTTCTAACCAGGCTCAGCTTCCGTTCCATTCCCCTCTTGTGCCTTCTCCACACAGCAGCCAGTGATCTTCCTGGAACTGTGCGCTGGGTCCAGTCTCTCTCCACCCAGGGGTTCTTTGCGCTCGCAGTTCTCTCTGCCTGGAACCCTGACCCCTTTCCCCATACGGCACACCCCATTCGGGTCTTTGCTCACCTCCAAGAGGTGACGTGTCCCTGTGCAATCTAATGGCCCGAAGCAGATTTGACCAGCCCTGCCTGTGGTGGAGGCACCAGAATAGCTGGCTTCTGAAAGGATTCAGAGGCCACTGCCTTAAAAGAAATTCCTAAGTGTGGTAACGTTTGGTTTGGGGCAGATCTCACCCATCGAAAAGAAGCAAGTCACTGATGACGTTAGAGACGTTAGAGACTTCTAACATATAGCTTCTATTAGTAAACTATATTCACTTCTGTAAAACACACACGCCTCTTCTTCACCTTCTCTTGTTCTAGCCTCAGCCTCGGAGATGGATTATAAAGTCCTCTTTTGTCGTTATGCAGGTACTGTGTGGTTTTACTGACCCCCGAGGCTACCAAGTTGAGTAAACCCTTTGAGGCTTTCCTGTCCTTTGCCCTGGCAAACACACAAGACACAGTGAGATTCGTGCACGTCTACAGCAATCGACAGCAAGAGTTTGCCAACACCTTACTACCAGACATTGATGCGTTTCAAGGAAAATCAGCGGTGAGTCATGAATTCTCTTCTTATTCTAAGCTCTTGACATGCTCGTGGCACCTGAACTCTGTTTCTCCCTTCTTTGGGAGTTTTGAATACAGATTCCAGGAAATCCAGAAATCTCTGAGCCTGTTTTGAAAGCCTACTCTTGAAATAGTCTTTTATCCTAGTGATTTCACCTCCTAGATTTTCAGTCTTAGACCTTCACAGAAAGCATCTTTTCTGTGAGTAAAGGTTCAGGAGCATCAGTTCTTCTCACCATTTTTTTCCCCATGGTGGGTGTAATCTTAGAGTGCCTGGTTCGTAAGGGATGCCTGGGTGACTCAGTCAGTTAAGCGTCTGACTCTTGATCTCAGCTCAGATCTTGATCTCAGGGTCATGAGTTCAAGCCCCACATTGGGCTCCATGCTGGGTGTGGAGCCTACTTAAAAAAAAAAAAAATAGAGTACGTAGTTTGTAAAATCTTCCTTAGGCTACCAGTAAAATCTCCCTCCTTTACTTCTGCCTCTTTCATTTCATTTTAATTGATCTCTCCTTCCCTTCCCCTCCTTTGTCATCACTCTACAGAAGCATTCAATTCTTCCCTGTCTTTGTCATCGTTTTGGTCATCATGGAAACTCTCTCTAAAAAACTGAAGTTCCTTATTATAATATTAAGTCAGAGGTTATAGGAAAAAGTCTACTCAGAAGAAAGAGCTTTAACTTCTAGCAGAAGCTTTGGAAAGTCACCATAAACATGGTTTCCTTTGTCAGAAGAAACTAAGATCTCTTGCACGTATTTTATACCCATCCATATTCGTGTTTGAGCTTACTGCTGACTTCACTGGATCCTTTTTCCATCCTCCCTGAAAAAAAAACAAGCAAACTTGAAGACTTCTAATGGTTTCTTCTTTTCCCCCAGGTGTCTATCTTGGAAAGGCGCACCACGGGAGGAAGGGTGGTGTATAAAACCCTGGAGGCTCCCTGGACAGGGAGTGAGAGTGATAAATTCACGCTTTTGGGCTATCTTGACCAGCTGCGCAGAGACCCCGCTGTGCTGTCCTCAGAAGCTGTGCTCCCGGACCTGACAGATGAACTTGCCCCTGTAAGAACGTGGCCCGGGAGAGGGGGCACCGGGCAGGGCTGGTGAGCCCCCAGAGCCCAAGCAGAGGCCGGCAGCACGCTGTGCTGGGCAAGGACTTCACCCAGGCTCAGGGGCTCAGTCCTGACCATCACACATTTTCTCCCTCCATAGATCTTTCTCCTCCGGTGGTTCTACTCTGCTTCTGACTACATCTCAGACTGCTGGGACAGCATATTTCACAACAACTGGTAGGAGTATTGCTACAGTAAATTTCTTTTTCTCCACTGATAGTAGAACCACTTTTTTCTCTTGAAAAGACTCTTTCTTTGATTTCAGTGTATACTCAGTACAGGCAAGTTGGAAGAATGTTTACACATCTTCAACAACTGTTCCCTTTTTCTTTTTCTTTTTTTTAAAGATTTTATGTATTTATTTGACAGAGAGATAGTGAGAGAGGGAACACAAGCAGGGGGAGTGGGAGAGGGAGAAGCAGGCTACCCGCGGAGCAGGGAGCCCGATGCGGGGCTCGATCCCAGGACCCTGGGATCATGACCTGAGCCGAAGACAGACACTTAAGGACCGAGCCACCCAGGCGCCCCCTTTTTCTTTTTTTTAAAGATTTTATTTATCTGAGAGAGAGTTTGAGCAGCCGGGAGGCGGGGCGGGGGGAATGTTGGAAGCAGAGGGAGAGGGAGAGGCAGGCTCCCCCCTGAGCAGGCAGCCTGATGTGGGGCTCAATCCCAGGACCCTGGGATCATGAGCTGAGCCGAAGGCAGACGCTTAACCGACTGAGCCACCCAGGCATCCCCCCTTGTTCTTTCAGTAACTTCACTTTTTACATATTTGCTGATTGCCCCTTAACCACTGGGCCTGTCCTCTTCATCAGGGCACCCCTGGCACCCAGTCCGGGGCCCGACACACGTGGAGGCCAGTGTAGAGCTGTACAAGCCAGTCAGTGAGTTAAGCAGAGAAGGGAGGGCCCTCCCACTCCCACCCCCAATCATACCGTGAGCTCCTGAAGGGTAGAACCACATCTCATTTGTGTTTGTGATTCCTGGCACCCAGCACAGCTCCTGAAAACTGACAGGCCTTTGAGGAGTGTTTGTGGGGGAACAAAATGTTAGAGCACCAGTCCTAGAGGACGTTGTGCAAGGTCACTGTCTTCTTCCTCCTCCGACCTCTGTGCCACGTCTGAATTATTCTAGCCAGAAAAAAAAAATCAAAATAAAGGAAATAATTCCACAGACTTTCTACCCTCGACGTCAGAATATTCCTCCACATTGACAGCGTAAATCCTGTTATTTCCTTCTGCAGAACTTATTAAGCACAGCCTATTCTGTGGAGACAAAATAAACTTGTAGAAAAAGCAACCTGAATTAAAACGGTGAGGGAAAATCTCTGCTTTCCTCACCACCACCGTCACCCTCAAAAAAAAAAAAAAAACTTTATTTGTATGAAACTAGAATGTGTTTATTGATATGAAAGCCTTTTGGTTTGGAGTTCTTTTGGTTTTGTCTGAGCCAAGGAAAAGAAATCCAGTATCATTAACGGACATAATCTCAGCAACCCATCTAGAGCTGACCAGAGTTTGTTAACTTCGTTTCAGGCGGGAAATGATGCCCCTTCTGTCCCTGGTCTTCTCTGCCCTCTTTATCCTCTTTGGCACTGTGATCGTTCAGGCTTTCAGGTAAATGCCTCCATGGCTTCTCAGCGTGATTTCTCAGGGGTGAGCCCCAAACCTCGGGTTGTGGTGCTGTTTCTTTTCTAAAACTCCTTGTTTCCTACTTTAGTGACTCAAACGATGAGCGAGAGTCCAACCCTCCAGATAAAGAGGAAGCTCAGGAGAAGACCGGGAAGACTGAGCCAACCTTCACCAAAGAAAACAGCAGGTTTCTCTAACAAGACACCAAACCCACCCGACCCCTACCCCCGGGCAGGAGAGCCACGGGCCCTGTAGTCTGACAGCGCGGTGTTCGAGGACCTAGCATATATAAGCACTCCGGGTCACTTCCTTGTGTGTGAGATGAGGATTTAGGGAAAAGTCGGCTGCTGGTTAGTGTTTACTGAAACCCCGTAGGCCTTTAGACACAGGACCTACTTATATTCTACTCAGTACCTTCAGGCTCTCAGTCTTAAATGTAATAATGCGGGCAGGAAGCAAAGCATGTCAGAGTTGCTAGACGAGCCAGAAGCAGAGAAGGGTGCGTCACCATGACTGTGCCGACCACCTTCATCCTGTCCCAAAGCCGCTTCTACGCCAGCTGTGAACGGCAGCATCTGAAAGGCCCTTTGGAGGCCCGGGACCGCCAAGTGGGGACTATCCCCATCCTGCCGATGTGTCAGGCTCCAGAATATTAAATAACATACCTAGTCTGGTTGAATGCAGCATTTTCTTCCTCTTGTTTCTTTTCAAAGTAATGACATTCTCCTGCCTGATAACATCTCAATTCCTCACTATTTCTCCACAGCAAGATTCCTAAAAAAGGCTTTGTGGAGGTAACTGAGCTCACAGATGTAACGTACACCAGTAACCTGGTCCGCCTGAGGCCAGGCCACATGAACGTGGTCCTCATCCTGTCAAATTCCACCAAGACCAGCCTACTACAGAAATTCGCTTTGGAGGTCTACACATTCACTGGGTAAGCTCGTGTGGGAGAGGGGGAGAGGCAGGGAGAGGAGGGGGCCAGAGGAGAATTTCATCCCTTCCTCTTTCACTGTGAGGGCCTTTATGCACGCAGCAAGATGTTGGCTGTGACCTTTCGAGCCCAGAAATCTAAGCCGTCATGAGGGCACCTTTCTCTCCTCGACTTCATGTCCCGATGCTTCTGAACAGAAGAGTTTGACCTCACTCAGTCTTCTGCCCTGAGCCTTTTGGGGAACTCTGTCCTCTAGCTGTCGTGTGTTTTCCTGAAGCCAGACACTGAGAGTGCTTAAGGGGCACCCGGCAAGGGGCCGGGAGGGAGATGGGCCAGCGGACTGTTAGAGCTGTTGCAGAAGCCCTCACATCCCCCAGGAATCCTCCATTCTTTCCATATTCGGGCCCCATCCAACACAAAGCCACCTCCTATTACATGAGATCTGACGGAGGTATTTACGTTCCCTGCAATTCAGTGTGTCAGGCAGTTCCGTAAATCTTCACTGTGTCCTTCCACCAGGAGCAGCTGCCTGCACTTCTCCTTCCTGAGTCTAGATAAACACAGAGAATGGCTGGAATACTTGCTAGAATTTGCTCAGGATGCAGCCCCGATCCCAAACCAATACGACAAGCATTTCATGGAGCGTGACTACACAGGTTACGTGCTGGCCCTGAACGGTCACAAGAAGTACTTCTGCCTCTTCAAGCCCCAGAAAGCAGTGGAAGAGGAGGAGGCCGTGGGGTCCTGCGGTGATCTTGACTCTTCCCTCCATCTGGGCGAAACTCGAGGGAAATCTTCCTGTGGCCTTGGACCCAGGCCCATCAAAGGGAAATTGAGCAAGTTGTCCTTATGGATGGAGCGCCTGCTCGAAGGCTCCTTACAGAGGTTTTATATCCCGTCGTGGCCTGAACTAGACTGAGGGAGCTCGAGAGAGACTTTAACTCTTCAGGCTTTTTAATAGGCCCCTGGGAACAGGTCTTTTCAGGACTCGACCTATCACCACGGACAGAGAATAGATTCTAGATTATTCTTCCGGAACAATGGCTGGAAGAATCTTTCCTTTGTCCTGTCCTACCTAACCTAGAAGTGAAAAACACCTCAAGTTGAATTCCTTAGATCAAAATATTTTGCTTTGGGTTCTTTTTCCCCTCGTTTGAATGCCGCACTATTTAAAGGAGACTGCTCATCCCCTCTTCCTTCGTCATCCCTGTCCTGTGCTCCCACCGCCCTCCCCTGTCCTGTCTCTGCGCTGTGGGAGAGACACAGGGCTGTGGCCGGCAGCAGGCCCTGGAGTGCTGGCCGGGCCCCCGCCCCCGCCGTGCTTCCGCGCCCAGTGCATGCTGTATCCGTGGGACGACAGCCCACAGCAGCTTCTAGGCCCTGCATCCTGAAAGAGGCCTGGTTCCAAGCAGTCTCACATTTGATAGTTTTTTCTGGTAGTCAGTGGCTAAAAGTGTATTTGGGGGGTACCCCCCTGCAGCAGTTGGTCAGCCACGGTTTTACAAGGCTAGGGATAAGTGGGGGTCCTGCATGTGAGTTTGGTTTGAAGGGGGAGCTGGGCAGTGACGTACGTGACCCCTTGGGGCGTCCCATCAGCCACCTCCCCCAGCGCTAAGCATGGCCAGGGAGGGATCTGCACGGCAAGAAGTACTGTAATGACTGAGCCATTTATGTGTCTGTTTTCACATGCCTTTCTGCCTCTGTCAATTTTAGGGTATGAATCTTAGGAGCCATAATTTGTAATCTTGTTCTCTGGACGTAGAGATAAGCTGCTATAAACCAGTAGATGTTAAACTGAAGACACCTCCCTTATCCCCTGCCTGACAGGCGTCAGGCTTGAGGAACCTCTTCACTCTGGTGGTGTCTCTTTAGTAAAATACCAGACATGTCTTTGTATCAAGGAACTTAAAAATTTCTCAACAATTGTATTTTGAACACTGTTAACCCCCAGAAGTGCTGTAACTTTGAGCCCTCTTTTGTGACAAGTGAGCCAAGACTTGTTCTAGACTCCTGTTTGGCAAAAGGCTTACTTTGAGCTTCTGACCTATATTACGATAGCTCAATTGCTTCCACTCTTAACTCACAGCTGCTTCACCAGTAACAGGGTCCGACCTACCATCAGCACCCCGGCTTCCAGTGTGCAGTGGATCACACCCACCAGTTAGAGAGTTTGCCTTTTTGGGGGCGGGGGGGGGGGGCGCAAAATTACCAGGGGATTTTGAGCAACCTCAAAGAGTGGTCAGTTCAGATGTCAAAACACATTGGCCTTTTGTAAAGCCAAGTGTCAGGATCAGTGATGGGACATTTACTGAGTTAGTATTTCTTTAATCATCATTGCTTTAAACAAAGCCATTTGGGTCCTGAACAATTTAAACATTGAGCTATAGGGGCAAGTAATAAATTATTTAAGCCCAGGAATTCCTATCATTTCCATGGAGTCTATAGCTTTATTTAAAAGAAAAAAAATCACTGCCAGTCTTTTTTTTCCCCACATGATCCTCTAAAAATTGGATGCTTCCTCTGATTGCTGTCTCCTGGCACCTGGCCCAGGCAGGTGTGATCAAGGGATTCATTTGGTTCCTTGATGCACCAGCCTCAAAATTATTTTCTAGGTCTTTTATGGCCAAGTTGCTGATGTGAGTAGTGTTCTGGTTCAGTGGTCGGTTTTTAATTTCTGGTACTAATGGGATGGATCCCTAACCTTAATTTCTGAAAACCAAAACCTCCCCCAGATTTGTTCACTTTAAAAATGTTTCTCATTAAAATGAAAAGCACCTTTAGACAGACAGCTGCACCCTCTATTTGTACGAAGAAAGGAAAGTTAGAATAGATAGGATTAAAAACATTCCCGGTGAATGTTTCAGTGCAGAAATTATTTCACAGGTCTGTTTGGGGCTGGAAGATACGTCCCCCAAGAGGACACTAGGAAGGTTCTACTTTGAACTAACTTTGCCCTTGACCCCCCAAGCCTTTTCTCCTGAATGTTTCCATGAATTTGTTTACTTTTGTGTCAAATGTATGAGCCTTTGTCATGCTCAGCCAATGCCACCATTTCTCCTCCTCTTGTGTGAAATCACACAGACCTGATTTTGGTTTTAAGTTAATTTCTTGGTCTTTGAATATCTTGAGACTGACAACATTGTTTTGTTTTTAGAAGTAGGCTTTTCTGGTACATCGTGTTTAGCAGCTGGGGATGAAAACTGGCCGAAAACAAGTCTTTGTAGAACACGCACCTACTTACAAATATTTTTTTATCATCCAGGTGCTGGTGGCATAATTTGGCTAAGAGATTGTCCCAGCTCTGAGTCAGCAGCGTTTCAATGAGCAAGACTGCCCTGACTTCTATTAGGCACTATGGTCTCGCTCTCTGCCATCACTTCCCAACCATGAAAATTTGGTCATACTTTTCAAATTAATAGGTTGATTTCCTCCTCATTCAGTACATGAACGTTTTCCTGATTTAAAAAGAAATGAAATCTGAATGTGTTTTTTTTAAGTGATTTGCTCTGTTTGGGAAAAAGAAATCAGAAGCAAACACTCCAACTTTTTTCCTAAGTAAAATTCTTTAAAAGCTGAGGCAAAATATCTTTGCAGATGAAATATCGCTCACATCCAAATGCCTGACCTTTCCCTTGAACACAAATGCAGTGTGGCAACTGCTAAATCTGTCCATTCCATTTGTCAAGGAGGATGGAACTTTAGAGACCGATCTGAAAAGAAGGTGAATATTTTGCACTTTTGATACTCTTAGGAACAAATAACTTATTTGGCAAATGGTGTCTTTTTTTATGTTGTTTGTGTTTTGTATTGTGAACAGGCACTGAAGCTGATGTTATTTTTGTTTTGAGAATATTACAGACTGGAAACAGAAATAAACTATTTTAATGTGTGATGATTATGCGTCGCTCTTGCATTGGGAGATGATGATTTGCCCGTGGACACGTTAGCGACAAAACTGAATTTGCATGTAACTCAACCCACGCCTGAATCTTCCCTGCGGATTTCAGGAGTTGCCGTCACGGAGGGTGCATCAGCTCCAAGAGTAGATAATGCGAAAGGGAGGAAGTGGGTTAGGAAGGGTCACCAAGGGCTCTTTGGAGGCCACCTGATGTCTGGTTGAAAGACATTCTGTGCACCCTCCTGGGCTTTTGAGTGGGAAGTTTCTTTATCAGGATCTGCATGTTACTTTCATTCAAACTTTTTGTTTCGGTTCACAGTGGTCCTAAAACCCAGATGCAGCCCTGAGTTCCTCAGGAGAAGCCACAGTGTGAAGGAAGAAACTAGATATGGGATGTTTATGCAGGATTATGTCCTAGGGCTTTTTTATTTCACTTCTCCAATTTTTAGATCATCTTGAACCAAATGCTCCTTGGCTCCCTTTTCCCCTTAATCCTCCACCATCTTTCATCAAAACAACACAAGTGCTTCTCTGTTTTTAGTTCATTCAAACTCCATAGAAATATTAGCTGTTGGATTAGAGTTCTACTGAATGCCCTGGTTTTATAGGCCCCGGGGACACTGTTTAGTGGAAAGTTTTACTGGCATAAACTCTTTGAGTACTCAGACTGCTTGCGCATAAATTCTTGAGAATTGTCATCAGCACAACCTGTTGTATCTTGAAGAGCACAGGTTCAGACGACCGTCACTTTGGGGAGAGCACAAGGTTCAGACGACCGTCACTTTGGGGAGAGCACACAGCATCTCAAACAGCAGGTTAGCCGCCAGAAGGGCCGTGTTTCCTACAAAGAGACAAAACGGAAGGTGAACACCATGCAGGCTGCCCCCAAGGCCAAGCCTCTCGGTACTCCGCCCTCTTCCCTCCGGCCTGCCTTTCCAAATTCGCCCTCCCATGCTCTTCTCTGGGCTGCCCAGCCACCCTGCCCAGCCACCCTGTGGACACGCTTTCCCTGGTACTCCGCTCCAACAAACATTCAGAAAGAGCATTCTGAAATTCAGACAGTTCGTTGTTTACTCTGAGAACAGACTCCCCCCAAAGGAAAACCTTTAATAATGGTGTCTATTGTATTTATCACCTACCCTCTGAGACTAATTGGCCTAAGTCTGGAAGCTTCTCTAAGTTGAAATTATTGGGATGGCATCTGCTTTGAATATCTCTCCTAGACCAGCTAACCACCCACTTTTTTAATATTAATAAATATTACTTAGGCAGTAATTCACTTTTCAATGAACTATCAAAGAAGGATAGAACTATGCCACCCTATTAATAAACCATAGGCTGGTTTCTTTCTCTTCTGCTGTCGGGCAGGCAAACCAATAATAGCCACCTCCCAGGGGTTTTGTTAATTAGCTCGTGTTTGTAAGGTGTGCAGTAATAGGTTTATTTTCTTCGCTGCAGAACATACTCAGCAGGTTCCCAAGTTATACAAAAGGATCCATCCATCTTCTACTTATTAAGTAGATTAATATAATTTAAACCAGCAGCTGCCTACAGATCATGGTATTCTCGCTTACTCACCAAAAGGATCGTAGGGCGGCGAAACTTCCACAAGATCACAACCCACCACGTTCAGGCCTTGACAACCCCGGATGATTTCCAGCGCCTGTCCAAGACCAAGCCCGAGTTGTCCACAGCAGTAACCACTCACAATGAAAAGCAACCACAGAGGTCCCAGTGCATCTCTCCCAGCACATGCCCACCCTTTGACTTGGAACTGTCACTTTCCCTCAAAAAACATTTACTGATGGCCAGGCACCCTGGTGGGCATCATGGGGACACAAAAGGCCAAAGCACAGCCCCTGCTCCCGAGGGGTCCGTGTGTGATGGAATACACACAAGCAGGCCAATCATTCCAACCATTCGTACATTACAGGCTTCAGGAAAAGCAAAGCGTAGGGGCACCTGGCTGGCTCAGTCAGTAGAGCATGCAACTCTTGATCTCGGGGTTGTAAATTCGAGCCCCATAGTAGGCGTAGAGATTACTTTAAAAAATAAAAACTTAAAAAAAAAAAGCAAGCACAGAAAAGTATAATAAGAAACAGCCCGAAAAGCTGGGGGAAGCCCTCCCCAAGCAGCAGGAACACTTAGCCCAAGGAATTAACCAAGCAGACAGGTAAGGGTAGGGCAGCCCAGACAGAAAGACACCAAGATGGAAAGAAATAACAGTAGTTAGATGTGGCCAGAAGGCAGGATAAGTGAGGGGGATGGTAGGAAGAGGTCACTTTGTCTAAAAGAGTTTCCATTCGGCCAGTGAAAAGCCCAGAATGATAAGCTGAGGAAGGAGGATCGTGTTTTAGAAATCTCTCTGAGGGGAACTGATAGAGAATGGCTTTGAGAGGTAGTTGCTCACAGGCCCCTCTCTTAGAGGAGGTAAGATAACGGATCAGGTGTAAGTGGTCTTCACTCATTCACACAGATATCTATGAGTGCCTACTCTTTATGTCAGGCACCATTCTAGACTCCAAGGACAGGGTAGTACATGAAATAACAGCGCTAACCTTGTGGAGCTCGCTTCTAATTATAACCACACTCTGATTCTGCCTCCTGCGTTTACACTCAGCCCACCTTCAGAGAGCTTTATTTGGGTGTTTCTAAAACTCTTGAACTTCGGGCGCCTGGGTGGCTCAGTTGGTTAAGCGACTGCCTTCGGCTCAGGTCAGGATCCTGGAGTCCCGGGATCGAGTCCCGCATCGGGCTCCCTGCTCGGCGGGGAGTCTGCTTCTCCCTCTGCCCCTCCTCCCTCTCATGCTCTCTGTCTCTCATTCTCTCTCTCTCTCAAATAAATAAATAAAATCTTCAAAAAAAAAAATAAAGTATTAAAAAAAATAAAAAATAAAACTCTTGAACTTCCATGGTAGGTGGTTAATCCCACCATGAGCACTTTTTAAGTGTAACCCCAGAAAGATAAGCTTGGTGTTTTTAAGAGGGGATACTGCTATACGTCCCCAACTATAGGAGGATCAGAGGCAGAAAGCTCAAATAACAGACTATTATATCCCAGAGAGGAAATGAGGGCCCTTGCCAAAGTCCGTCTACTCACTCAACAAGAGTGTCCAACCTGTGGTCAGCCCTGAGAACAGTTAAAGGCCTAACCCCTCTGCTTTTAAAATCCTGTCCTGATCCTGAAGACTCACCACAAGTCCCAGGAAAGTGGGGAGTTGAGACTCCTCACCCCCAGGCATTGTCCCTGGTGGAACCTCCTTACCTGACTAGGGGTGAGCCCGGCAGTTTCAGGGGTGCCTGTCCCTGGGGCATAGGCAGGATCCAAGCCGTCGATGTCAAAGCTGATATAAATGGGTCTGCCGCCCACCTGCTGCCTCACCTCCCCCATCAGAGGAACCAGGGACTTCATCCAGCAGTCTTCAGCCGGGACCACCCGGAAGCCCTGAGGACGTGGGAAGTAAAGAGCAGGATGTCGAGGCTTCTACATGGTGCCATTTACTGGGCATTTCTTATGTGCCAACCCCACGCTAAGTGCTTCTGTACACATGACATCAGACCCCCAATCTTCACGAAGAGGGAACTGTCCTCCCCCTTCTACTGGTGCGGAAGGGAGGAGCGACGGCTGGTGAAGAAGCAGGGAGTAAGTCAAAGCTGACCTGGGGGGGATGCGATCAGAGAGAAGCTGGGCTATAGAGTAAGAGGGAGAAACTCAGCACCTCCTGAACGACTCTGTCCAGAAGACTGGCCCTTGCACGCTCTAAAAGCAGGGGACTTGGGTCTTTCCTGTTGGGATCTTGTCATCCGCGTTTCCCTGGAAGCCACTGTGCCCGGTGGGGGTGAGGACAAGAACTAGAAAGATGGCCACTGGCCTTGGGTTCGGTCCTCCTCAGCTCGTTGGGAAGCCAGCGAAAGTGCAGAGGCTGGTATGTTTCGGCTTCTCTCCCCACCCCAGCGATGAGGCCCCCTTTGCCTCATGAACTCACATCCTCTCTCTCTGCTCCACACGACCCTCTTGGGGCAAACTCGGCCTTCCGTCCCGTTTTTCTGAATTTGGTTATTAAAGCCCCCGTGGAGGGGCGCCTGGGTGGCTCAGTCGTTAAGCGTCTGCCTTCGGCTCAGGTCATGATCCCAGCGTCCTGGGATCGAGCCCCGCATCGGGCTCCCTGCTTGGCGGGAAGCCCGCTTCTCCCTCTCCCACTCCCCCTGCTTGTGTTCCCTCTCTCGATTTCTCTCTGTCAAATAAATAAAATAAAATCTTTTAAAAATTTAAAAAAAAAATAAATAAAGCCCCCGTGGAATCCGCAGCCACCACCGAATGGGCACCACAGAGAAATGCACTTCGCAGGCTGGGGGCAGAGGAAGAGGCGTTTAGCTTGTCACCTGGCTCCGGCTGTATCTGTAGGGATCCAAGGTCATGGCGGAGCCCCGGATGCCGATCTGCACCACGCGCTTACAGTCCAGGAGACCCTCGTCCACGCAGCGGCGGAAGGGCGTCCCGTGATAGAGCTTCTCTCCGAGGGCCTTGTCGGCCGTGTCCATGTGAGCGTCCACATGCAGCAGCCCCACGGGGCCATGCCTGATGACAACAGGCAGCTCAGAGCCCAGGCCTCCTTCTGGGGCCTGAGCACGGCCACCCTTCAGGCTACCCGGACTTCCCAACTTGACCATTCACAGCCACGCGAGACCCGGCCTCGGTGACCAGCCCTGCAACTGGTTTCTGTCTTCAAATCACTTAGCCGCTCAGAATAATCGACCCAGAGAAGTCCGGCAGAGGATCGACAGCTCTCTCTCCATAATCTCCAACAACCCCGCCAGCCGCCCAAAAGCAACATGCAATCTAAATCAACGCTAGGCAAGCACAGACTTCCAGAAAAGACCTATACCCGCCCACCACCACCGAGGATGCTACCCATATGTCCTTCCTATATATGAATTCTGGAGTTGCCACCACCTTGGCCCTTCTGCCTCTTTTTCAAACTAATTAACCAAAG